GTATTCACAGGTAAACAAGTATTCGCGTCAATCGGCAAAATAAAGAGAAGAAGAATCTTTTAGACGATTTTCAATTGACTCGATACAGCTGCTCTTCCTGTTTGCCAATCATTCTGCTTCTCTGAGTAATTATGTCCTGAAATACTTAACATTTTTTTGCTCCGGTCGTTACCAAATACCACACGCCATCCTCTCTTTCAGGTCAATTTTGTGGTCCAATAATGTAGTTCAGAATGATCCATCATGACCAATTCTACCAGTCTCCTAAACTTGGGTTATGTGTTATTATTTCATAACTGGACTAATTAGTGTTGTTATTGTTATTATTAGGATTTAAAATTTCCCATGTTTCTGTCTCGATGGGTATAATTGGGTCAAACACGTTTTTTGGATTAGACCTACATGAGCATGGGAATTCCCTACTATTACCTGAACACCATTAGACGATTTAACTTATATATCCTTTGAATGTTGAGTTAATACCAGAACGCTCTCACATCGATAATTCCTCTGCAAGTCAAGTTTCTTTTTACTCTTTATTCGTCTTTACAAGACTAATATGTCTTACATTTCTCATTATACATGATGTAGCAGTGGATCTGCTCAAGCCATTCATGGATTTAGAAATTGGATTTTCAAGTGATAGTAATGATGTCACTAAATTATTGACATTTTTTCCTTCTGACAAATCTTTCTCTTTAATGAAAATATATTTTATTTGAATAAAAAGAAAAAAATCGAATAATAAGTAGAATGAATTGTCAACAATCACACGATCATTTTTTAGAAATACACACTCATAGTGTTACTCAACACACGTGTTATCGGTTCTTTTGAGAATCGCTCAATCGCGGGGGCGACTTACAAAGACTCTTTTCATTGGCTTGTTAGCACACTTCCGGAATTTTTTCCCTCGTATAGCATATACAAGTCTTACTGAGTTGTCGATGTTGTCGTGACTTGTTTTTTTTATCTTTACTTCTTTTCAACATCTCACTTCCTTATTACTCTTGTTATTATATATAATAACTATAAGTTTTTTTTCGTAATTGTAATTCTCAATACTGATAATTAGTAACCATTTTGAAATACAACTTGGAAAAATTCTTCTCCACCACATTATATATTTTAATAATAAATAGAAAAATAGAAAAGTTAATGTACCATGAAGATATTTACAAGAAAGGTTCAAGTGTGAGATACTTGACTTGTTAATCTGTTATAATACACAACAAAACCCGTACACATTTGGAACCAACCCACATCATTTTTTTATAAACATCCATTTATTTTCATTTTTTTTTCTAACTCATTTTTCAGTTTAGAGTAAATAATTTCTACATACTTTCCTTATTAATCATATGTAGATTGAACAAGACGACAGAAGCCTAATATAGGGGCCAAAGCAACATCTTAGCACGAGCCCTATTATGATGCCTCACCAGTCTCGTAATAGAACTCCATACGGGTGTTCCTCATAGTTCCTCATTATCGCATCCGTTTGAGATTCATTCCCACACTTCTCTTCTTTAAACACTGCTATTGAAGAATATACATCATAAGAATTTACCCCTATATATTGGTAACGACTACTCTTTTTCTCTTTCTCTCTTTTTTCTTCTTGTATTTCTCAGATTTTTTCTCAGCTTCTTCAATTCCCATTGAAATAACCCCGAAAGCTGCATACTACCTTTTCAGAAGGGTTTTCAGAAGTGTGCAATGCACGAGTCGGATTTACATCAACGGACAATTCTTTTTCTTCCTCTTTTCTAATTTTTATTTTTCAATAGGTCATTCATTTCCGGGTGTTCACAACTTGACCCTATATATAATATCTGATTGTATCTTTCGGAATCTTATACAAATACTCGCTTGACCCTTTCATATTTTAACAAAACAGATTATGATTTTTTGAATCCCTATTGATTTGGTCCGAATTTCCGTCAAATTATTGGTGTCGACACGGTTGAAAAATTATTCCAACTATTGAAAATCGTGGGAAAAGTTTGAGGAATTTTCTGCACATGTGTTTATCTTTTACATATTTTTATGAATAGGAACTAACTGGCAGGTAAAGCAGGTGGTATACCTGTCAGACTGCTCGTGACCCCACGTGTATAATGTGTTAATGTTTTTAACATTTATTTATATTCTTTATCAATGTTGTGTGTCTAAAATACATACTCTGCATTTGTGGGAAATGTGTAAAATCTTTATGACATTCTGCAGGCTTGATAAGAAAAAAAAAAGGTTTATATTATGCGAATTACAAATACTACATATGTCCGCACCCAGACGCGTATGTTTATTTGAGGCATTAATATCATGTAATGAATAATTAATTGACATAAATTAATGCGGGTAGACAACACATATAATATAACCTGTGTAGTATGCATGTCAGTATGATTTTATAAATATTTTAAATTTTTCCATTTTTTTTTTTTTTTGCTTTAGCTTTATATCTCCATATTATTTATTATCATCTTAATATTCAGTGTATTATTCAATTGTAATTCCGTTGAGTTATTTACGATAATTTATATGACTCCCATTTAAAAGTCCTTTTTATTCAAAATTTATCGAGGAAAATACTTTTTCTTTTTATTCAATTGATACCCAATATTGATGTGAAAAAAATTATTTATAACTCTCATGTTAAAGAGAGTCATTCAACATTAATTATCGTTGAGGAACATCACAATAACAAATTTATTTAGAAAAAAGAATTTATTCCATATAAAAGTGTTATTATTGATTGTTAATCATTATTTAATGAATAGTTAAAGTGAACTACAAGTGTGGGTTACTTTGAGTTAATAAAGAGTAGGTTAAAATTGGAATTTGTCTTTTTGACTCTTTGTAAACAACACTTGTGTACCGCACGCGGCGAACACACGATTGCAGGGGTGAACTCGTTACTGGAACGTCAATAGCTACATGTAAAGAGGGATGTATTTTTCATTTAGTCTTTTTCCCTTTCTATTATCATTGTATATGCGTACGACCTCATGCTAAATAAAAAGAAGAGCACAGTAAAAGGGAATTTAGTTCCACTAGCATACTTATACGCACGCAAAGGAAAGATATCGCGAAGCCGGTTGATGCACGCTTATGCGCGCGAAGATATCGGCAGCTGGCACGGAGCCGTGAGAGACTTGGGCAGATGGTCCCGAATAGGTCCGGACATTCTGTAGTGTGTGTAGTCAGCCACGAATCCTACGCCTTCCTATAAGGAAGGAACCGAGCGTGGTTTCCCACGGACCTCTCTCATCTGTTCGTCCTACGAGAAATGAGACTGTCTCTTCATCTTAAGTGTCCGTTCACCGATTGCCTTCTTTTCTCCCCTTTTTCTATATAACATCTTTCATTTCCTTTCCCTTATATTCTCACCAACTATCATTCGTTCTACCTCATAGAATGCCTCAATTTTTTTTATTTGTTGCAAACGCGTGTCTTGCGTGTGTTTGAACGTGCGTGTTACACGTGGCTATTTTTTCTATTGTATTTGACATTTATATCGTTTTTTTTTTATTTGCTTCCGACTTGTTTGAATTTTCCTACTTTCTATTGTTGACTGATTGAATTAATTTATCTGTAAATAAGACTATTTTTTAATGATTTATTACATTTAGTTAGTTATCAAAATTATTTGTTTCAAAAAAGATTGTGTAACGGTTAAATTCATCCAATCTTGGATGCAATAGAAATTATTTTCTTTGTATTTGAATGCTTTCGATTTTACGTATGTATCCGTTCACTTATAGCACCATTATCATCCTCCATTCATGGGTTGGCTCATTGGCGTTTCACTACCTCAAGTAGGTGGAGGAGAATAAACATAGAGACTCGGTTAGGGTGTGAGGAAGATGGGTTTAGTCAAGCGTATAGATGCGGGCTAAGAATTGAATGGGCCGTATTGTACAGTCACACGGTCTGCAATCAGTGATGAGAGCATTTTTACGCCCACACTGATACTGATCCTACTGAAGCGGTAATACGTATGTCTCACTCTATGGGAGGCAAATTAAGAGAAGAGCTTTACATTCCGGATGTCCGACATAACGATAATTTCAGTTTAAGTTTAATGACATAAATACTCTACTTTTTAAGGTCAATTGTACTATAATAAATTTATAAAATCATTTTTAGTTTGATAAATAAAAAAAAAAACGATTAGCGAATTAAAAGAAGACATTTATCATTTGTTTTATGATTTTATGGTTAGAATAATCATTAGTGGATGTTATTTTATCAATGGTAATTAACATTATCAGATGAAGTTTTCTAATCTGAGAATGGAGTGTAATAAGAATTGCATAAAAAAAAAAAAGGATGCATGTAGAAGAATAACGTGGCTGAAAAAGCGCGCGAAACATGCACGCGAACACACGTGGTCACCCTTCCCTTTGCTCTTTCTCTCCCAATTCTATCCTTGTACAAGGGCGTTCGTCCCCCGCAAGGTGGTGGCATCCAAAGTGTGGGAATTTAGGACATGTGCGTTCCTCGCGCCTAACTCGTGGTCCGCACACGAACAGGCCCAGGGGGGAAATCTTACGTGTAACGGAAAAAAAAGATCGAGGGATAAAAAGGGGCAGGGAGGAAGGATAAACTCATCCTCACCGACCGCCAGAAGGTAAAGAATCCATGGGAATATCGAGCATGTGCATTCACGTGGACTCGTGGCCTGCACGAGTTATTCTGAGGGTCATTATTGGCTTCTGTGACTCGGTAGATTTACCTTTTTTGTTCATTTTTTTTTTTCTTTCAAATAAATCAAAGAAAGTCTTTCGCTTTCATGGTCAGTAGAGAAGAAAAAAATGTAATCGTTTTCTTTAAATGCTTAAATTGCCCTATATATTGTGTTGTTTTTTCTTCTATTGTAGTCAATTTTATTATAATAGACTTCTTACATTGTATTAAAGACATTTTCGATTTTTTTTTACATAATTTGAGTATAGAAATTCTTCAGATATTTTACTAGAAATAATTGGATATTTTTATCCAATCTTTAAGATTGGACGAGAATTATTTGTAATAAACCATGATCTTCTGATAATTTCAGCTAATATTTCTTGAATATAATGAACGTCAACCCGATTGACTTCTCCAGTGGTAGTATATTCTATTTGATTATTACGGATAACAATTGCAAAATTAATTACACCAACTAGAAGCCAGCGATCTTGGGTATGAGTTGATTTACAAACTGCTGGACCTCCAGAAAAATCCTAAACGAAACAATTGTATAAAAAGTCATTAATATGTTTTATCTGATTTAATCTAATATAAACTATTGATTCAAATAAGTAAAGATTTAATTACCAGTATGTGTGTACCAGTTCCATTGTTAAACTTTTCTGTTCGATGTTCATCATTATATAACGTCAAGTTATCATACTTGAGATTCAATCTATACTCCAAATAGTTGTCTGGGTTGAGGGTAATCTTGACCTGAGTTGAAGTCATCAATCTAGCTGAGAGTTCATAAAATTATTTCAATTAATTTCTAAATAATTTCCATACTACTATTACTTGATCATGTACCTTTCAATTGAAGTCCATGTGAGCTTTCTAAATTCCTCAAAGATATGATTGCACATTTTTCATGCTCAAAGTCTGTGTCATGTCTAGCAAAATGTATAATATTAACAGTTTCACTTAATGTGAATGCCTCTGAAAGAATGAGGATAGCTAAATTTCCTTCAGTATCATCTTCTAATTGCTCCAAAATGTTGTATTCACTAACATTTCGAACTTGGAGACAATGGAAATTGTTGACATGCTCGGGAAAGTAACACTCAGCAAATACTCGAAAATGAAAATATTCAAACCTGAAAAAACATTCAATAGTTATTGTATTTATATTTTATTTAATTATTAAAATAATATTTTGTTGAAATAAACTTACTCATTAATTTCCATAATCGATAATGTTAAAACAGCTCTTTCATGAATTAAAGTGCCATAAGCAAAATCTAGAAATAGTTTTATAATTAAATTTATAATATTATTGATTAATTTAATGCATAGATTAAACTTACTAGTTTCTTCATTATTGTCTGAAATGGTTACCATCCATGGAAATTTTTTAATATTTTTTCTTTGACTAACGTCAAAGTCAACGTATCCTCGGAATGAACATACACACATTTTTAGTGTTAGATAAAATAAAAAGTAAACTATCCATTTTTTAGACATCATTTTTTTATAAACATATATTCCGTTTCAACTCCAAAATAATCCAAGTTCTGTTTAAGTTAAATATTACTACACACGATGCTATAACTATGTCACATTAAGTGACTGTACTTTTTCAAACACTCACAGTATTTCATATTTGATATCTATTTCATTATCTATACTCATAAGCTTAATATTGATCATGGTATTTTTCAACAAGTCTTACGAATGTAAAGTGCATAAAAAATATTTCTGTAACAGTAATCAAATTTCTTTATCGTTCAACTGATAAGAAAAATAGTTGTTTTCGTCAGGTAACATTTTTAAACATATCTTATGGTTCGTACTGACAAAAGATAATATTAGTGAGTTATATTCTTCATTTAAAAAAAACTTAAAAAATCATTAATTTAAAAACTACTGAATGTAATAAATGACAAAAAAAGAAGCGTAATTATTTACTTTATTAAAACTTTTTATTCGATGTTCAATCAATGTTTTTTATATGTTTTTTATCAAATCCAATTGATTTCAGTAGCTAAAGACATGCATTTTTCTGCAATTTAATCGAGATTAGTGTTAGTGTGGTTAATTTAAATAACATTGTAATGAATTTTGGAGGCAATTATATATAAAAAATAAATTGAAATAAGTGAAGGAGAAAAGGTTGATTAAACTTTTTTATGTAAATTTAGCAAGATACATGAAAGGAAAGATGGTGCGTTGGTTGGCTGATGAGGAAGTCAGCGTTTATAGAGATTACGTTGATTGGAGGCTGGAGAATAAAGTCAGAAAGAATGACCACCTGCAAAACGTTTACTATGAACGTCTCTTCTCAATCTGTGCGTAATTTGTACACGTGCAGTATTCTCGTATATGCTTACTATATAGCATATACATCAACGGATGTACACTCATTGAGTTCGTTCACGAGATTCTCTTTCGTTTCACGTGTTACACATCAACCATCTCTTCCCTATATACCTGCACTTTGTTTTTTCATTAATGCACTGTTCCTTTGAGATGATGCCCATTTACTGAGTTATTAATGCTTCACTAACTACTCTCGTATTCACGTAAACAAAATATCTTAAATCAGGTCACACACCTGACAGCTTAGATCACGCCCTTAGGGGTAACCCTAACTCTCCCGGAACTTCAGAGATTGAGTCACACCCCCTGTTCCACTTGTTTGCGTTGAATTATTATAATGATTTCATCTTTTTCAAATATTACGGGAGGGAGAGAATAGTTATGTAATTATCTAGTCATTTTTTTGTAGATTTTTGGTTTGTAAATAATGATCTGGTTAGTGCATATCTTAACATGTTATTATGCACAATTAAGAGGAAGTATTATTTAAATTCAAAATATAACTCATGAGAAGAATCATCAGTATATTATTATGCAAAATAATTATAGCGTGAGATTGTGAAAAAAATTCCATTTCATGAGCTACTTCAAGAAATTTACTCCAAAAGATTAATTTTCTTAGCTAATATGTATTTTTTTAAGTAAATATTGGGGAAAAAATCTATGTAGGCTCATATTCATTGACTACTTTTTAAATCAGTGAAGGATAACCTATTACACAATTTCGGTAAAAAGGTAAACACACACTCTCCTTTTCATTATATGTTTATTTATATACATATATATATATATATATATAATATGTTAAAGGAGTGTCATTGGCATGAATAATTTTTTATTCTCACATTGTAAAGAACTATGTGATTGATTTATTTTATATTGTAGAAAAAATGTATATGTGTTTGTAGAATGATAAATAACGATTGTTATTCACCTTAAGGTGTACGTTCTCACCTTTTTTTTCATTTAATAAATATATGCATATATATATATATATATATTATCTATAAAATACGTAAATCAGAGATGTATTTTTTTGTCGATATTATCTAAATATTTTCCAGACTTAAATAAAGAAATAAATCTAGGATGAAAAAGATATTTTATTTCAATCAAATGTAAATATAAAAGAACTCAAGAGCTACAGCAGTTTAAATATGATTATATACCGTATTTTTTCCGCAACATCAAGTTAAAGATATGATCACTCTGACTGGCTGTCATGACTCGAGTCATCAGAAAAAAAAATTGTCAATCTTAAAAAATATTTTCTAGTTAAATAATATAATATAAACTGATGTCTATGAGATTATATCAAGTAGACAGCTTTTTCTGTCAATTGAAGAATATTCATCCCTAAAATCCATAGACGAATAATGGCCTACGGTGGCGATAGACTACATAAAAAGAAAAAGGCACGCTTCTTGCACGTTCCCCACACACGCCTTGACATATTGTAATCATGGATGAAGCATGTCGAAGATTCAGAAGTATATATGTCTCATGGAGAAAATAATATAATAAAAAGAAAAATAGTGCGATAGAAAAGATGATATTAGGAATGGAATACATGACTCTGTGTATATATAACATAGATGTACACGTGATACATCGTTATATATACATGGTTGCTTATACGTGCGAGCTATACAAATATATAGCGGGTTAGTGCGTGGCACTCAAGAAGGTGCGTAAGTACGCATCTGCCCGAGATTCTCACGCGCGACGCATCTGTCTCAAGTTCCCACGCGGAGAAGCCACCGGCAACAGCTAAGAAAAATTTTTGTCCACGCACCAGTATTGGATGAAATGCCTCCAAAGATCCTCCTTTATGTCAAAATATATCCCACATATCAATTGGTATTTTGTTGTCCTCGCAAAGCCACTTTAATTCGTTATTCATCGCTCAACCAATTCTTCATCCTTCCTCAAACTTTGCCACTTTGTTTTGCCACATATTTTCAACCCTCTGATTAACAAAAAAATTTATATACTAGGGTGAAATAAGGTTTTTGTCATTAAAAACCAATTAATGTTTTTATTTAATGTTTACATTCTTGATAATTGACGAATGCTTAATGGCGTTAGAGTGATCAATAAATTTAACAGAGTTAATTAATTCGTCCTAAAATTCGCAGTTTAGAATTAATAAATTAACAAATTTTCCATATAAAAAAAATATTCTTGCATATGTGATTATTATCATATTAATATATAATTATCTGATTTGCTATAAAGCTTTGTGGATAATGATGGTTCCTTTTTATATTTATTAGTATAAAATTATAATATAAAAAATTTCCTTGTCTCTTTAATTTACAGTTTCTTAATCTGCGGATTCAAATTTAGGTCAAAATATTTTACAAGTAAATTATGGTAAAAAAAAAAAAACAATAAATATCATTAACGTTATAAAATAATTGAATAATTCGTTTAGTAGAAACTAATTAAATTTCATTATTAATTTATTTACAGTTTTGCAATGTTGTTAAATAAATTCTTATAACGGTTATGAGAAATTTTTTCATCATATTATACATTACTGAGGTATTTAACGTTTTTTCTTGAGTTAACAGTAATTGATAATATATTTGTATTTCAAAAAAATTTTATTTTTCAGTTAATCGTTGACCCAATTTTCGAATTTTAAATTTATTTCCAGTCAGATAATTTAACGAAAAATTCTTTCTTTCTAATTTTTCGATACAAAACTTAGCATCATATATTTCAGTCATGATTTATGAAATAAAGTAATCAGTAGTACCATAATTTTCATTTGTATTAACTTATTCATTACCTAGATGTCGAGTATTTCATTTCTAAGTCATGTACGTCATTTTGAAGTAATATTTGTAATTTCACGTGATTCTATCTATATACCTCTTATAAGATTTTTATTATATCATAAAAATTGTTCTTAAAAGTCGGAATTTTTTTAATCACTTTTGCTGGATGACTGGCAAGATGTATCGGATATAATAACTTGGGTTCTTGTTCGCAAATCGCTTGCAGGTGCACTTCTCTCCCTGCGCCGTTTCGGTATTTATCTACAGTGTGTATATGAACACCAGGAGCGAGGTGTTTATTTTCTTTTTTTTCAACAGATTTATATCATATTTGACATGATTTAATAACCGCTACTAGTATTTCAATGATACTCATTTTTCGCATTTTTTTTTCTTTCAAAAATTATACTTTACTAATCTCGATGTAAATTCCTCATTTAATTTTTCTAAAACTAATCTGCGAACCATTAAATCCGGTAGATATTAATTTTAATAATAAAGAAAATGAATATTTCCTTATAACTGTTATTTCTCTTGACTAACAGATAATGGTGGTGTGTAAGTATAGGGAAATGATCATTCAAAAATATTTCTAGATGGGAAATAAATGATGAGATAATAATTGTACAAATGCGCAAAAAAGAATCATTGAGAAGGTTATGAGGATCGTCATGTCTTTAGCTGTTTTCTATTGTGGTCTCAGCTTCCGGTGCTTCGCTAGTTTTTAATGTTAGAGATCAGACACTTTGTGGAAAAAAAAAATGAACAACCGAGCGGTGGAGAAGCGGTTGGATCACGCGACAGTGTTAGGCCAATATACCATTAAGAATGTATAAGAGCATTTCTTTTGTTGCTTTGGTTAAACGTGAATGAAAGTTTGCGTGTTCTGGTCCTCTTGAAAGTCTCACAATTGTAGCCTTTTTTCTTCTTTACATAATTGAGTCCTTTGTATCTTCGTTTAATTTTTGCATTGTTCACACGCTCAGGAAATGTTACAAAAATATATTTTATATTGTATCCTATAAATAAATTTATTTAACTTTCTGGTATTCTTCAAAAATCGTCAATTTAATGACAAAATAATATTACATTATTATTATTATATATATATATATATAATGTTATCAAGTGGTTAATATGAAAATAAAAAGTGTTGTTACACGTTAGAAATACTAGATTTAGCCCCCAAGGGTCAACTGATCAACACTTTTTGGTTGTTTTCCTTTTAAAAATGGTTATCTTTCGTTTTCATAATTCACAACGTTGCATTTTAATAAATAATCAGCAATAGATATTATCGTAAATTTATTTAGAGATATAATTAAATGGTGTTTCTTAAGAGTAATTAAATCGGAATTGAATTTATAGCTTATAGAGAAACTAAATTGCATTTATAACCAGTCTGGCACACTCTGTAGTCACACTTTATGAGTATCTATATCTGATCTTGGTCCGAGTCCACGCGACTGCTACATACACGCTTGACTAACGTTCTCGTGTGTATATCGTGGCCTCTAGGATTGTTCAAAGTGTTTTATGAGCGTGTGCTAGGCACGAGCAAGGCGCGAGCCCACCACCATCATCATTATCATCATCATCATCCTATTCTCTATCTCAGAGGCTACTTCACTATCTACTTTTCCTTTTACATTCTTAGAAATAAATTTACATTATTCAACGGCACGAAAGGAAACAAGTCTTACATTGATATTTTTGTAATAATAAAAGCAATAAAGATAACTTGATTTCTTTTTATCAAGTCTTTTTCCCTTGATAGAAAAAAAAATTAAATATCCCTTGAAAATAACACGTTAACTGTTATTTCATTTTGAGTTATTTATAAAATGAATAAATTATTACTATAAAAAAATAGCGAGATATTGTATATCAGAAAAGCTATTAAATTTATACAGTACATGATAGAAAAGTACTTTTTGGAATATTTAAATATTAAGATAGGTTTTTTAAATTCAAAAAAGGAAAAAATAGAGAAAGTTAACTGAACGTAGCTTTATAGAAAATTGAATAATGATGATTCAATGAATCAAAAGTACATGGGCATTATATAATTTTTTTTGTATATCGAATACAAGTTGAAAAAGTCGACGATAAATTATTATTTCGCAACGTTGAAATAGCATCATGTAGACAAGTTTAAACTTGTAAATACATAATAGACCAAGAAGTAGTTGCTGGTCGTCCAACAAGAGTCAACTTGCACATATGCAGCGGTCAGCAAAGCACGCGTCAAGCATATGCTGAGTCACATCCACACTTATAGATGCGTTTTCTTTGTATAAATGGCTAAATGAAACATAAACGTGTTATATTTAATGAATTTACTTATAATATCAGTGTTATATTGTGAAAAGAATATTTGTATGTAAATGATGTATATAGGTATGAGGTGAATCGGATCGGATCGGGGCCGTGGGAATGAGTTCTGGAGTGACGGTAGATATCGCGAGTCCTGGCACGAGCGACGCGACAAACGACCACCTCACGTGTGTGCCTCAATATAAGTGAAAAGAGAGAAGCAAATAAAACGAGTGGGAGTTTCTTTCTTAGTCACTTGTATTTTTCCTTCCTTTTTTTCTTTTTATATGTCGAATACTGAATCATTAGTCAATTGTATTTTCATCAAACTCAATTCTCTCCATTTTTTTTAAATTCCTGATCAGGACATAATAAAATGAAAATTAACGTGGCCTCAATTGTCCTGTCGGGAAAGTAAATTTTTTTCAACTTTTGAATTACTGTAAATATTACTGATCAATTTAATTTTTGTTAAATTGCATGAATTTTTGTAACGGTTTCAGAATTGATAAATATGTTAATTAACAGAAAATATTAAAGCAGGATATGTTGACAGAACTGCGAAGATTATAATTTAGAATTAATTTATTTCTAACTTCTCGATGGTCGTTCAATATTCTGCGGATAATATTCTCAGCGGTTTCTTGAGGCTTTCAAATTGGCGATATTCAAAATAGCCGGTACGCTTCCTATATAGAAGTAGGTTATCCCACGTATGTTATTCATTAAGATTGTATATAATAATATACCATCGACTATAAAATGAAAAAAAATAATAATAATTCTGCAGAATATATTTCTCGTCTGATTTTTTACTTTAATTTATTTTTTACCACTGGTCAAAATCACATCTGCGACAGCTGAATAAATTTGCTAGCAAATGAATCGCAAAGAAAGTTTCACGAGATTCGTTAATGCTGATTATATTAATAATTATAGCGGCTGTCGATTTGGTAATTACTATATCTCACTGTAGCTCAGTTAATTTTATTTATTTCAACTTTATAATTTTAGGAAACTTGCAGAATACTCAATAAAAACATGTTTGAAAATTTTGTAAGGCAAAGTTAAAATAGTGTCTTTAATGCGTATATCTTTTGATGAACCGGACTAAAAAAGCATAATGAGTCAATTAACTTGATCGTTTCACAGCTCGCTTTGATGTGTCGATTTTGAAAGTGGGATACATTTATTTCATATGAATTGATCTTAAATGAGCGTATGATCATATCCGGTTAATTAATTCAATAATATTTATTATCATTAAAATTTCAAAATAAAATTTATAAATAGATATTATTTTTTTATTATCTAAAAAAATTTGCTGACTAAACGATTTATGAATATTAATTGAATATGCATTCAAATATTTTTTTTACATTCATTTCATTGTAAGAAATTTATTTCGTAGTATTTTCCATTTTTTTCTTTTCAGTACTTAAATAAAATATAAGGGTTGATAGGGAAAAATATTTCAAGTATTGAAATTGAAGATTTCTACTTAACAATTTTACTGAGAACGACATCTAGGTTGTGAGGGGAGAATTTAGTAGACAAGTCTTAGCTTTTGGCGCGAGTATCTGTCAAAACAATAAATCAATTTTATTTTTTTTTATAATGTCAACAGTTCAAAAAAATTTTTATAATTTTATAACTATTATAAATAAATATAAAATAATTGATTAAAAATTTTTGTTGATAAAAAAAATTGTCTTACTCGGTTATCATAAATAATGCCATGGAGACCACAGAAAAGCCAAATAAACATCATGATTGAGATTAACCCTATTATCGAATCGTCCTTAAAATATTCACCCTTGATCTCTATTGTATTATGATGTTTCAGCCTGGTCAGTGAGGATTATTATCGTTTAGTAGATTGGCAGATGGATGCGGAAATTTTTCACCCCTCTGTGATAGTGTAATTTCTATGGAAAATCATGAGAATCGTTGTGTATCCCCTTTTTATATCACGATGATGCACATGTGCATATCACATATGGACAACACGTGTGCACATTGTGAATGATTTCGCGATCATTGTAATATCCCAACTCCGGAACTCTTCATCTCTATTGTCCTAATCAATTGTGATATTTGTAAAACTTCAAACACCCTTAAAATCATTGCTATTATTAAATCAAGTGATGCTATCAGCTGTCAGGTGATTTAATTTTCCCTTAACGTCCTCGTATGCCTTTTAATATTAAACAGAATGTAAACATTTAATTTACTTTGCTTGCTTTGAAGTATCAATTTAAAAGTTTCGTTTAGAAAATGTTAAATTACGGGCTTTTAACTAATAAAATAATGTTTATAAATTTTAATATAATAATAGTTGAATTGAATTGAAGCATAATGACACTCCTTTTGGCATTGCATGAGGGTGAGTCCAACGGACCCCAATAGCTGCAGCAGTAGAGTCTCCCCAGGTATCCACCGGTCTTATAACGGCTCTGTATTATTGTACGAAAGTCGGTTAACGAAATAACGAATCAAAAAGACCGTTACAATGTCATATGTTTAGAAAAAATTATTGATTTTTATTGAAATTTGTATTTTATCAGTATTGAATAATTTAAAAAATAATAATAAAAAAGTTGAAAAAAAAACTTAATTCTAATAAAGGTGAAAGGTATTTCTTAATTGACAAGTCAAATGATTATTTTGAATGATTTAAATTTTATTAAAATATTGGAAGACATGATGAAATATCAGCATACTAGCTGGTATTTAGTTCTTATCACAATTAGAATATTTTTTGTTTATATAAATAATTAATTCATATTTATAGATATCACAAACTTGACCCTATATATCCAAAGTTATTTTAAAAGTATTTTAAAAAATACAATTGTGTCTTTGTAAATATTAATATATGATCTTTTATGAGATCTGAATAACTGTCAATACAAATAAAAAGTTAATCTAGAAATGATCACAGTATTTGGAGTATCTTAAATCTAAGACTGGATCGGTTGACAGCTTGTAGTTGCCCTTGGTATCAGGAGGAATGACACTGTAGGTTGGCCTTGTTTCTAATTGGGAAGATTTCCAAATGAGTCTAGAAACCGGTTGGTTGTTGTCACCTCCAGCGATGGTGATGCTGCCTCCAGTAGTTGTAGATGAAGCTCGTTTTATGACGATTCACGAAGTCCATTCGTGGTTGTCTTGTGAGGTAGATAGCGGCACTCTTTGAACAAGATTGTTCAAGCGACTTGCATCTCTGGTAATTGGTTCTGAGAGAAAGCTCGTTCCTTGTAGCAGAGGTCACTGTCAGCTAATGTGATAGTTGTCCAATAGAAGTCACCGGCGCGAGTATGAGCAAAGTGAACTGGTACATAACACTGTCCAGGAACTACCGGCACAACTGTCATTTGACCATCAAGGCACACAGTGATTGCAGCACCTTCTTCAGCATTAGCAAGGTCAGCTAATAGTCGTTGTTCCAATGCTTCATTGCAGTTATTTTGATTATCAACTTCTTCAGTGAAGATTTCAGCTTGTGGTTCTGCCTTCTGGTATCTTCTTGTCAACTTGTAACTCTTGCTCTTCAATAAGCGAAGCAGAGGTTTCAAGATCTTCCTGACTTTGTGACTCGGTGAAGACCTTTTCTTGTTTCCAGACATCTTAATGTTGTAGAGGTTGTCGTTCAACTCGTTCTCGCACTCGAACACGTGGTTTACGGTGGCGGCCATGTTTGATTTGATGTTGATCTTGACGTCACAAGAAATAACTTGAAAATTAACACTCACGATTTGCGATACACAAAAGTGAAATGATTATCTCAACGAAAATGTGGAGATGAAAGTAAGCGTGTGCTTTTTAAATGATGCTTTTACTCAATGCGCTAGTGAGCGAATGATGGTGAGTCGAGCAACCCCAGCGCTTATATAGCCACTGTCGGCTCGACTGGGGTGAGAGTGGGGAAGGCAGGTGCACTCGGGCTGTGGGAACTTGGAGAATTCGGAGCTTCCCACGTCGAGGTCCACGCCGACCATCTGCCGGTCTCCTCCACACCCTAACCTAACCCATCCAACCCTGGTACTACCTCGGCTCTTCGTTGCCCCCTTGGCCACCCCCGCGCTCCGTTTCTTTTCAATGAGGGGGTCCTTAGCATTGGTCTAGTCCGTAGATGTTTGCCTACACACCTCTCTGGTTTCTCTTCATGTCTTTGAGTGTAAGAAGGATCGTCTTAAAAGATTGGATACTAGAGCATCCACTTAAGGGTAGTTTCACCGTTTTTTTTTAAACTTGCACGAACTTGTTACGACACGTTTCTTTCCTGCTCGAATTACCAATGAATCTGAACATGTTTAAACTCGATTGAATAATACAATTTCAATAAAGCATACATTTTTCTACCAATTTATTTCTTAATAACACATTTAAAAAATAAACTCTTTCAAAAGATTTTTGCGGTATTTCTGTTATTGTTCTATTTTTAAAAATTTTTTGACCTACAATTATTATTGAAAATAACAATGATTGATCAGACACAACAGTAAAATTAAAAATAATTTTGCATTATGCACATTCATAAAAGCATATTCAGTAACAAAGTTTGATCAAAAGATTCATTATTCAATTTATATATAATTAAAATAATTAGTCTTTATAAATCAATGAATGATATTTTCTTTTTAATTGACTCATATTAAAAATGAAAAGTATTTTTTAAAAAAATATTATTGTGGTAATTTTTAATAATTAATACATCTTTTTTTTCAGAAGTTAAAGTAAAATATAAATTTCTAAATTATCTGGATGAATATCAAAACATTTTTAGAAATTTTTTTTCAAATAGAAAATAGATAAAAAGCAGTCCTTGTGGGGGGGTATATCAATAGGATGCTGTCTGACATTCGCCTCACACGCGATCAGATGAGGGTAGAATATTCTTCATCAAATGCGCACGTGCAGGGATATTTTAAAGACATTTTTCAAATCTATTAGTTGCTTTTTTTTATCTCCATCATCAATTCATTTAATTAAATATATTTCTCATGTTTAACACTATAGAAGTGATTTTTAAAAATTTTAAAAATGATAATTTATTCAGTTCTCTTCATTTAGAAAATTTACAAACCAACATCCAATATTTAATGAGAAATTTTTCTCACCAGTACCTTTATTACAACGTTGAGAACATTTCCTGATGCACCTGACAATTTAGGGATGATGGACAGTGAACCTGCCGGGGGTCTACGTTCCTTTCATTGTTTCCTTCAGCATTTACCCCTCGGTATAACAGAGGGGTCGTACAGGGATGATGTAGTTGGGATGTAACAGGAATTAGATTGGGATGTTTTTGTCAGGTACATTGACGCTTCTACCTAGTGGAAAATTTTACAGGTACTAAAAATGTACCTTGTCTATTTATTTTTGAGTTTGGGTATACTTAATACAGGTGATTTTATGCGCTGGTACAACCTGCAGTTTAAAAGTTCTACGTGCCAGAATAATTTGAACTTTTAATATATTCTGCACTGTACGTGACTTTCAAATGATTGGTCTAAAGGAAATTTCTCTTATTTGCAGAGAAAACGTCTTGAACCTTGGACAGATACAGGTACTATTACTGTGCCACCCTTGAAGAAGTAACCAAGTAGCCAGACAACCGTCAGAAGCATCAGCCTCATCCTTCTATTTACGAGCAAAAAACGTGAGTTGACTGTTTATGTATTTTTAAAAGAGTTTCATGTATTATTTTCTGATGTCTCTGAATGAGGCATTGTCTCGTTTTCTTTTAAAGTAACCGCATTTGCCAATTAAATTCAACCACCGAGTTTCCTGCTCTCTTCTAATCCATAACCGGTTCGCAATCAGCAACCCTTTTTGCTTGGAGTAGAAATACACACTATATGCCTACTCTGACAGTATAACAGACAAAAACTGTTGGGCCTTTCGTTACACATGTCGCAGCACACCGAATAGAATTCGAACCGGTTCCCTAACTTTATCTCTTTAAATTGCAGTTGACTCATACGAACCTAAACCAGTAGCTCCATTTCATTTAAACCTTTCTCGGTTTCGCCATCATCCATTAATGCCTATATATTTTTTGCCATATTATTATCTTTATTTCATTAGACATTGTTATTTTAGCATTATAAATATACAGAATTATTTTAAAACTATAAATTTTTTAATTTAAAAAAAAATAGAACATATAGTAACAAAAATTGCATGGTTTGAAAATAGTTTTTTTAAATTTTTATCTCTTCTGGCAGTCTCACCTGCAAATGACCACAAAGTAATGCTCAAGAGACCATAGTTGCTAATTTGTGAATTTTTTTGGTGATAATACGGCTTTATTCTTAGCCTTAAGGGTAGCAGGACGCTATTACTGTTGTTACCTTTATTATTTCACTGGAATACCCTAGAGCATTATTTAAATTTTTTTATTCATGTAGTGTGTTTCTGCTTCTTCTTTCTTTCATTAGCATATAAATAATATGTACAGGTCGTACTGTATGTGGTATAACAGTGTTATCGTTCGCACTGGTTCATCCTATATACACGAAGAAATGGAGAAAAATAAAATAAATGGGTGTGGATAATCGCAAAGAAAAATAAAAATGATTAAGTAGAAGAACAAGTTTAGTAGTGGCAGCATCAGCTAAGTTTTAAAACAGTAGTGGTGACCCCCGGGGCTGCCTGAACACAGTTCCAAACAAAAAAGTCTCCACTGACGTCAGCGGCAGGTGCAACTCTTTATTTCATCTCTTTTTACATCATAAAGACCCCTTTCTTTCAAACCTACTCTCTTCTTCACGCGTTCATTCTTACGTGAAAGAACTATACTCTCATCATCATCTCCGCCTTGTTCTCTGCTTCTTTTCCTTTCACGCCAATTCATATGTAATCGTACTGATTTCAAGATCGAGATAAATGACTTTGGTTGTGCTTGGGTTTACATGTAACAGGGTGACAAGACTATTTCTACATGTGGTCTAGAATTTTTATCGTCGATGATATCTTAGATATTTGTGATTTGGTATTAGGTTTGAGTTGTTTTTTTTCTCGTGATTGAAAAAGGATCAATTTGTAAGAGAAAAAAATTTTTGTATCATTCTATTTAAATTGAGAAAAGAAAAGTCTTCATTTTCTCGTGTCATTCTAGTCTATTGGGATTTTTTTTAGAATAAAAAAAACATGACTTATCATTATTAGTGTCTTGTGTAATAATACGTTACGTGTTTTGTTTTTCTTTTCAAAATAGAGTTGAATTTAATAAGCATGCTATTGTGAAAATTGTGTAAATAATTTACCAAAGAAAAATAATTCTTTTATCGTGACTTGTAGTTATAAAAGCAAATAAAAAAACCATTCTTACAAAAGATATTTTTATTTACAAAATAAATTAATATTTTTTCAAAAACATTAAATAATATAAATGAAATAATTAAATTTGAATTAGTTTCATCTAATATATTTATTTGTAGAGAAGAAAAAAGAGTTACTTAAAAGGAAGCAAAATTCTATAATAGTTACATGTGTGATAATTGGCAGATTTAATAACTGCACTTCCTGATGAAGACAGCTATTTTTCTGTCATCATTGTCATTATTTTAAATCTAAATACCCACATCTGCCTGTACTTCATTTTTAAATGAAATTTACTACAGATTAAATATGAATTTAAGAATCTATTACAATTTATTTTTATTTTAAAATAATTTTCTTCAGACGAAGTAGTGACTGCTGGTGATAATTATGACTTTTTTTATTAATATTCTCATTCTGAATTGACCGAAAAAAAATATTTATGAGCTCATAAATGTTGTATAACAGCATCCGGGGCAATGTATTTTTTTTTATCTGAAAAATGTTACTAGGAGCTTTTATCGGGTGTTTTACAGAAGAGGGAGTCTGAGAATGGTTTGCTTTAGAAGTCAGCTAAGAGGTTGCTTTGGGTTAAGAATTATTTCGCTGATGAGAGTGAAGATGAGCAGAGATGTTTTAAGCAAAGATAAATGAGTTTGATGAAGTCACTATAACATATATATGTTGTGTGTGTAGAATAAAGAAGCACTGAAACACAGTAGAAAAAAGAAAACTAAAAAATGTTAAAACTTAAAATAGTCTGGTCCATCGACTACTGTATTCATTTCTTGCTTTACGATCTCTGTAATCGCTCACGGCAGGTAAGCACCGGTTTTCGGATAAGAATCTTTTGTAATTGGAATTACATCTTTCCAGCTCTGGAGGGCTTCTCTCGGGTACCCTTCTTATAACCAAGAAATAAATTTATTGGGGGCCTCTGTAGCTATTACATCTTTTTTTTCAGCACTTATTAAATATTTTTTTTAACGTTGCGCCTTCCCGCCAGGAATTTCTGGTTGTTAGAGTTGAGTGTTCTCAAGTTACTTATATCCTTTCTGCCCTCGGCCTTACATTGACGAAAATTTGTTGATAAAATTCTCTTCACTTGAGGTGCAAATATAAATTTAAATTCCTTACACGTTTTATTATCATGTTAATTAAATTTTACTCGCTAATTTCATTAATTTTTTACATTTTTTACAAGACACTTTTTGACGTTTAATGAAACAATTTGTCCTTTTTATTTTTCATCATAATCAGAAACGGAGTGAGGGGTTGATTTGAATAAGTGAAATTAATCTAAAATATTTTACACAGTTCAAATCACAAATGTTTTAATGTGTCTCAAGATAATCGATAAATGATTAAACTTTAAGATAGATAAATGGAGTCTTCTTTCTTTATGGAATCTTGAAAGTAAAATCACTTTGAATATTATTTTAAAAATCATTCAATTATCTATACAATCTAGATTAATATAATATTATATAAATTTGATGAAAGAAAAAAAAATGACAAATCAAATTTTTTTTATGGCTGTCCATCTCTAATTCCTATTGTCCAACATGGAAAAATGCTTTACGTTGAGAGATTATTGAGGTATAAAAGGATCAGAGATGCTGACTGGACCCTTTCCATCCTTTAAGATCAACTCAACTCCCTAGCAGATTGAAAGGGGATGCAATATTATTCAAAATCATGAAAATCTTGGTTGGAATTTCGTTATTTTGTTCCTATTGAAATCCTCAGATGCATATCTTATACGAGTTGGGTTTCTTGTAGAACGAGTGAATAGATTCCTTCGATTCTGTTGTTCCCCTTCGTCGCGAGCTGCACCAAGAGTAGAACGAGTGAAATTCAGGTAAAAAGGGTCAAGGGATCATAATAAAGAAACTCGTTGGATGAAGGATTCTATTTTAGACGTAATCATAATAGGGTCGATGTGTATACCCTCACACTCTCTGCCCACACTATTTTTCTTTTTCAACTCGTCCGATTTATATTTTCAATCTCGTCGAATTGTATTCAATTGACACAGTAGTAGTGAAAGACGTTGGAACACTCGATCTCTACTCAAATCTTCCGTCTCTAAGGGTTACGTTTTATTATTATTATTTTTTTTTTTTTTTCAAGAATGTCTGCACCTTGCTCCAACAAATAGCACACTGATGATCCAAATCAAAACCTGTGGACACAAAATACTTCATTCCACAATATTTTTTTACCACTGTCAAATATATTTTTCAAGAAATTTGGAGAAAGATTTTTTTTGCAGCTGTTTCCCATTCTTTCTTTGTATTTTCATATGTCATATCCTTTCTTCCGTCTCGTGCATACACATCTGATAGATACCGTTTGATCATCCTGCTTTTTCCAGACTGCCAGACTGTAAGTAATTATATGTGATAAAAATTATCTTAAAAAAAATATTCTGCACTTGCTAAAGCTGTCATGTACCGCTTCTTGTCCCACTATACGGTGTCCTTTTGTCCAACGGTTCAACCCTTTCACAGGTGAATCCCTTTTTGTGGTAACCCTTTCTACCATTGTTCACTCATATTTCCGCTAACCGGTTCGGTCCAGACGAATCACTTTGTAAATAGTTTACAAATCCACAGGTAAAGGGTTGAATTGTAGGTCAGCAGACCAAAAGAGTTACAAAATAGCAGGAAATACACATAACATCTGCAAACTATTAGTAAATATTTTGGTAAACCACACTCATTCTATAATATAATTTTTTTCCTGTAATTTTCGACATCTATTGTTTGATAAAAAAACAAAAAAAATACTACGTAAATTATTAATAATTTTTTCTTTCTAAAACCAATAAAAATTTTCCTATTCAAAAGAAAAAAAAATAAATAAATAAAAACAATGCTGTTTGTACAAAATAATCTACCGAGAATATAGCATCATTCTTGATTCAAAATTACCAGTGAAAATGTCCTCTAATTCAAGAACATACAAAGATGATTCTTCAACGACAAGAAGCACGTGCTGAGATGTATAAACGCGTTACAGGCTTAAGCAAGTTCTTTTCAGTTTGTTAATACGACTCAGAAATACGTTTTGCTTTTATTATTTTTTCGACTTTTAGAATTATCTCAATTGTATGTTATCATTGTTTTCTCTGAGAGTCAGCTGCACCTGGACGCAAGTATAAACCTGCAAGAAACGAGTCTGATAGATGTACGTAAACGTGGTTGGGATTGCGTGAGATCTTCCAGACGAGAAAAAAAGTCGAACATGTCTGAACTTGCTCGGATCTTTTTAAAGAAAACTACACAGGTAAATGTGATCTCTGATTTATTCAGGTCAGTTTGCTGAAAATTC